TATTTGCCTTTTTCATATTCATTCTCATTAGTGTACAGTGGAATACCCTAAAGGTGACATGAATATGTGTTATCATGATTGATTCCAAAAACAGATAAAGAAATCCAGTTTTCTTCCTACCAAACATTAAAAATATTTGCAAAATGTAAAAAAAAAAAAAAGAAAAAAAAAAAAAAAAAAAGCCACTCTTATTATTTTGAAAATGTTATTATATTAATATTGAGTGGGTTTATTACTATTATTTTAAAATGAATAAGTATTTCTAGAATTTCTTGGTTTTAATTTCAAATATGATAACTATTAATAGAGACAAAATTTAGAAAGTTCTTTAGGGTTTTTTTGTTTTGTTTTGCCATAGGGAGGAGATAAAGACAGAGAAAGAGAAAGTGAGAAATCACCCCTCAGTGGGAATGGCTATACCACAATCCCTTCTCCTCCAGTCTCCTGTTAGGATTTTGGACATGCATGCACATACACTCAGCATGATTTTCAAGCCACTAGGTCTGGAATTCAAATGACAGACTGCCAAGTGGGAGTCCTGGACCTTAACCATGATGCCACCTGCTAGCCCCAAGGGTCCTTAATTTTTAAGAGTACAAAGAAGACTTCAGGGACCATCGCTATATCGCTGGACTCCCATGTAGTTGACCACAGTTTGAGTCCTAGACCTGGTGGCTTAAACTCATGCCAGGCATATATATATATATATATATATATATATATAAAGGAGACTTCAGATCAAAAACTTTAAAAGCCACTGCTCCAGTCTTTCCACAAAATGGTCAAATTGTGCAAAGTGGTGTAAAGCAGGTATTCATTCAAAATTTAGGAAAATAGAAATTCTTACTTAAAAAGGTGTGCCACTCAGCTTTATTTAGTTTCTCCCTGCCCCCACCAAGCACTGAATGGCCACACTTCTTTGGGCAGGCATGTTGATTACTATCCAGCTTTCAAGCCTGTCAAAATATGCCCCTTCTTCCACGAAGGTCTTCCTTATAACTGCAAATGCTATTTACCAGTTTGGTCTATACAGCATTTGCTTTGTCTTTCTTATGGTTTTATATTTTAATTATTTTTCTAGTTGTTTTACTTCCCATTGAACAGTAAAGTCCAGGTAGGCACAATAGTTCAGTGTGGAAAAAGAATGTACTTTGGAGTCTAATATATCTGGGTTTGAATTTCAGCTTCCCTGTTACTAACTCTGAGACCCTAAGCAATTTTCTCAAAATCTTAGGGCTCTAGTTGCCACATTTTTGATACTGCTCTGATGTCATCCCCAGTGGAGAAAGAATTTAGCACAATGCTCAATACAGTAGGTATACAAAAAATGGTGGCTATTGCTATTTAAAAAAATCTATAAATTGTTTAAATCTCCAATCATATTATTTCAGTACTACAGACACTTCATAAATATTTCTCAGATTAAATGATATCTACTGTGCCTCCATTTCCCTGAAGCGGATAGAACATGAGGCTCAAACGAATGGCAATCAGGATTGGATGGTGGTGTAGAGGTAAAAGGTGACATTTTTCAAGGCTAACCCACATAGGAAGGTTCTAAGTTTGCATTAGGAAATCTCCCTGAGTATGCTAGGCACATGCATGCCTACAATCTGGGCTGGCTAAGGTTAAGGGAGAATTGCAGAGCTGGGACTCTGTTGGGAATGCTGTCTGTCTGACTCATGAAAGAAATAAAGAAAAAACTTTAAAAAAGAAATGCCAATCAGAGTCACCAAACTCTAATCTTTTTCTTCATAGCTCTTAATTTTGCTTAAATCAGTAACTATCTCTTAGGTATAATCTTTTTGCTTTTCCTGTTATTATATCAAATCTACCATTAGGTTGCTCCATAAACCTGAAGACAGATGCTATTCCTTCTGAGGGTACCAACAAGATAGCATTCTTTTGGTAGAGAAAAAATTATTTGTATTTACATTTTTTTCACTGCATATATATATATATGTATCTTTAGCTTTTGCAACAAAAGCCAGTAGTCCTAGTTTAATTTAAATATACCTTAGTGAAAATACATTTTATTTAGAAAGAATTCCTCAAGATATGTGATCAAAGTTAACATATACTTATTATTGATTTGTGATAGACCTCAGAGACACTCAGAATACTCTCCTGGCCTAATCAACAAGAATCTTGTCAGAAACGTTCGAGTATCAATAAATCTAAATTACTGACGCTAAGGGTATTGTTGATCTCAAACTTTCTGGGTATAACAGGATACAGTCTAATGGTAAAAGTAAGCTAGCAAATTCTTTGAGAAACTTCTACTCTTGACTTTTAAGTACTTCTGTAACCAAAATGTGCAGCTGGTGATAGGAACGTTTCTCAAAAACTTGAGTTCCACAAATTCTCTTTTCAAGTTCTAGATTTCTTTCTCCTATAATTTGCAAGGTTTTTAATTGTCTTATTCAAATTCTTGACTATTATGACAGGAGAGTCGTGTGAGAAAAAAGTCTCAAGATTTTGATCTCCTTTATTTCTAAATCTCCTCTCAGCTTGTGCAACTCAGTTATTTCAGCTAGATGGGCAATGATCCCAGCCTTGAAGTTGCCTGGGAAGATCACACAACACCCCACAGCATTTTTCTCATGGCAGAAACACATCTAATATATTGGCTTGTTTTTCCTTGCCTAGTCTGTATCTTCCAGTCCTTCATACAATTATGCTATTTTCAAAAATTCAAATGAACTGTAAACACTATCTGACGGGTTGCCTTTAAGTAAAGTCTCCTAAACTATTATGAAACTCCTGAGATGGGTGAAAGCCAAAGTCCCTAGACTGTCACGCAGACATGAAGACTTTCACGGGAAAGCAACAGAAGACCATTTTAGAAACATGTGCCTTGAAACAAAAACTCCTGGTGGGTTCTCCCAAGGTCCGTAAGGAAAAATAAGGGGGGGGGGGCGAGGAACAGAGTTGAGAGCAGTAATAGGGCAAAGGACACAGACACATTTTCTAATTGTAGAGAGCGAATTTTGGAGGTTGCATCCCTTCTCATCCGATGGTTGAACAAATCCCCTCTACAAATCCCAGACTTGGATCGCCCAGCCTCCTCCCTATTTTAGAAGCAAATCACTTCTCTCCCAATGCCCCTTTGCAAGCATGTTGTCACCCACCTCCGAGGACCGTGCCCAGGAAGATGCATTTCTTTTTGTGACGTTTCAGAAAATTCCACATAGATCTCAGCATCTTCAGGCCCTGGAGTGTGTGCTGCGTAGGGGTGAGAAGCTGGTTCACCGGGACACTGATTCGTCGTCACCGGGCCCGGAAGACCCGACAGGAACGCCGACGTCCTGCTTGATGCTCACCAGAAATCACAAACGCGACTTTCGGTGAACACTGTCACCGGAGCGGGAAGGGGGCGTGGACTACAGCAGAGCAACTGAGGTTTCCTGCGCGGCCACGG